CCAGTAACCGCTGCACGCTGCTGTGACGTGTACTGGAGACCATGGCTGTGGCACGAAGCTGTTGTTATTTTATCTTAACACCTGATCTCTCTCCTCAAAGCATCTCTTCCTAGTCATTACCCGAATTAACGCCGTTTCCATCAATCCTCTTCTTGCACAGCCTCTGACCCCAACCTGCAGCCACCTCGCCTGGAAAGCACCAAAGCAAAATCTCTGTAAGACTTTGTTTTAATCGCAAACAATTCAAAGTAATTGTTCCCTGCTGGGAAGCTGGCATTTCGTGTTGCTATTAAATGGGATTTTATTATAGCACGAATCTCACCCTGCCATACAATGGGGGGAAAGGCTTGAGCTATGCTAAGGAAAAAAAATTCAGCAGTTTTATTTACTGATGGTTTGAAGACACGCTGCTTTTTAAAAACCGAAGTGGTCGCATGGTGTGAAAGGAATTTTCTGGCCGTGTTCTTGTTCCGGGGCTGGGAGGCTTTCCCAACACCAGCCGTGGTGTCTTTACCCCCATCCACAGCCCCACGGAGGTATTTTTTTAGCGTTGCTAATTTAGGAATTTTTTTTTTTTTTACAAGTTTGGTTAAATCCTGCTTTTGGAAGGTTTCGCCCTTGTTACGCCGTGTCCGCCCCACTGGGGCATTCAATCCCCTTGGCACCTGCTGCCTGCCCTGGTAAGGAGCTGCCAGCAACATTCTGACAAGTATCGAAGGGTTAAGAAACATCACAATCACTAAATAAGTTTTAATTCAATTCTAATTTTCTCGCTAAACACACCGTGTGTTGTTTTTCTCCGTTTAATTGCCCTGGCAGCGCTATTCCTCTCTCTGGTGTGAGCACAAGTCGCTTTGCGGGGATGCACAGACCCGCTTGGGGTTGGATCAGAAACCCGCGGTGCAGGTTCCCCTCCGGGAAACAGACGTTATGAATGCAACGGCAAAGCCAGCAAGGTTTGGGAGATGCAAGTAATGATTTCCAATTAAATTGCTAATCTGAACTCCATTAGCAGAAATTCTCCCACCCTAGAACTTAACTGCGGCGGCAATTAGCTCTCGGAGAAATAATTTTTGCATATGAGGTGGATAATGAAAACAGCATCAATGCACTGACCCGGCTGTCAGAACCAATCCCTTCCAGGTACACAGCAAAAACGCTACAAAAGCATTTTGGAGCCATTTAATGAAAAAAGCAGAATTTTATTATATGGTTTCTGTCCATTATTCGGCATTGCTGTAAATGGCTCACATTTACTGCAACTTCTGTACAGATGTGTGGCTTTGTATTACCAGAACAGCAAATTTAAATGAAAAAAATAAATGTTCAACAATTCCACACAAGCTTTTACAGTCCAACATTTCACTGAGTAGGTGAAAACTACAGACTTGTTACTACAGAATTATTCAGCATGAATAAAAAACTACAACTTTTATTTTTAAACAGGAGTCACTGGTTTAATTTTTTATGTTGTTTAAAATTACTGCGATAAAAATAATGATTTTTTTTTTAATAATGCCATACACCGGTATGATATAGGAATTGTCCCCAGTATATATCTTTTGTTTAATATACAAAATAGAATAATGACACATCGCTGACTCTATGCTGTTACGCAGGTTAGTTGGAGGTGGGGGATATTTTCATACACACAGCCTTTCATCCCAAAACGAGCGCCTCCAAAGAGGCCCTAACCCTTTCCTGACAATTTGGTTCCTATGTGACATCGATGGCTCAGCAACACCTGGCTGCAGACTGGAGTAAGGACAGCGCTGAGCTGCTCTAGAACACACACCATCGTGTAAAAACCTCTCGAAGCGATGCCCCTGACGTCCCCACTCACTGAAGTTCGACTACGGGAAACAGCATTTGGCTGACGTTCATCCAGGCACTTCCTCCCCTTTTTCTACCTTTTCCTGCAAAAATGGCGAGGTCAGATTTCAGCGATTCGCAGCCCGCTCCCTCCCTCTCCCCCTGTCCCACTGCAGAGCCCGTGCCCACCCGCAGGCGGGGGCTGTGGCGTGGGGCAATGCCCGGCTGCACGGGGTGATGTCCGGCTGCACGGGGCGACGATACCCGGCTGCATGGGACGATGCCCGGCTGCACG